GTAATTACTATTATAATTACTATACTACTATAATATTATAATTATAATTACTATTATTATAACAATATAAACCTTATAATAAAATAAACAATGCAATATCAATAATAAAATAATCTAAAATAATAAATATATTAATAGCATTAATATTTTATATTATGTATAATATTATATATAAAATACAATATGTATGAATATTGTATGTTATCTGTTAATATTGTGTTTGGTAATTACTATTATAACTACTATTATCATAACAATATAAATAATATAATAAAAATAATAGAATAAAATAATCACTCTATGAATATAATTAATATTTTATATTATGTATAATGTTATATATGATATATGAATATTGTATATGATCTGTTAGTGTTGTATATTGTAATTGCCAGTACAATTACTGTTATTATAATGTAAATAATAGAATAATATTAAATGATAAATATATCACTATAATTAATATTTTATATCATGTACAATATTTGTTATTATATATTAATACTGTATATTATCTAACAATATCGTATGTTGTAATTACTGTTATTATAATAATGCAACTAATATAATAATGCAACTAATATAATAATGCAACTAATATGGTAATGTAATATCTTGCAAACAATATAATAATATAGCATAATACTATAAATAATATCACAAAAACATGATAAAAATAAAATAAAAAAATCTGATTCTGGGATTTTTAATAATGTAGCAAAAACATGGTGCAAATTCCCGACTGGAGTTTTGGGAAGCGGGACGCGGGGAGTGTGTGTGTGGGGGGGGAGTGCAGAACCGCCTCCGCGCCGCCAGGGGGCAGCACCGCCCCGCCGCGGGTCCCGTGTGGCCACGCCCACCAGCCCCGCCCCTCGGCCACACCCACCGGTCGCTCCCCCGGCCGGCCACGCCCCGGCCACGCCCCGGCCACGCCCCCTGCGCGGAGCCGCGCGATGGCGGCGGCAGCGGGCGGGCGGCGGCGGCGGCGCCGCTGAGCGCCGGGAGAGCCCCGAGGGGCGCCGGGGGCGTCCCGCTCCCCTTCCCCTCCCTCGCACCCCGCTCCCCTGCGCCCCGAGCACCCCCCGCGCCCGCCCGCGCCGCGCCCTCCATGGTTACGGGCGGCCCCCGCGGCCTCGCAGCGCAGCCGTTTGGGCGGGAGCCGGCGCGGGAGCAGCGGCCGCAGGTGAGCGGGGGGAGCGCAGGTGAGCGGGGGGAGCGCAGGTGATCCCCCCGCCCACCGGGGCGGGCACGGGGATGTGGGGGTGGCGTGGGGGTGAGGGAAGGGGCGCGGGGCGCGACCCACGCGTGGCCGCGGAGGCGGAGGGGGGTCACCCCCCCAGCCACCTACCCAGCGCGGGATTTAATGTTTGAATGTTTGAGTGTATGTTTGTACGTGTATTCGTGTGTGTGTTCGTTAATAATAACGGTGGGTTTTAGAAGTGATCACGGATCGGGGCGTGTGAACTCGGTCCGTTGGAGCGAGTCCAGAGGAGGCCACCAAGTTGATCAGAGCAGGATGGAGCACCTCTGCTGTGTGGAAAGACTGGGAGAATTGCGATTGTTCAGCCTGGTGAAGGCTTTGGGGTGATCTAAATGTGGCCTTCCGGTACCTGAAGGGAGCTGACAAGGAATGTGGAGAGGGACTACAAGGGCCTGGAGTGACAGGACAAGGAGGAATGGCTTCAAACTGAAAGGGAGTAGTTTTAGATTGGACTGGGAAGAAATTCTTCCCTGTGAGGGTGGGGAGGCCCTGGCACATGGCTGCCCCATCCCTGGAACTATCCAAGGCCAGGTTGGACAGGGCTTGGAGCAACCTGGGATAGTGGAAGGTTGGAATGAGGTGGCCTTTAAGGTCTCTTCCAACCCAAACCGTTCCATGATTCTATGAACTTCCAGCCACGGTTCTGCAGCGACCCACGACCCCTTCCCCTGCTGCACCCACAGGGACAAACACAGGTCCAAGCTGTGGACCCACCTGTGACACAGGAAACAGAGCTGCAGGCCAGGACTACCATTGCCATGATCTCCTCCCACCGCCCACCCACCTCCCTGCCACGGGATTACCTGGATCCGTGGACACCCCCACGCAGGACACTGGGGCATGCAGTCAGTGTGGAACCCACCTGGCCCACGGCCTGGCCACAGCCCTCTCAGCAGCTCTGGGCTGAGCCCGGGACCAAAGGCTTGTTTTAGGAGGGATATTCCAGCTTGGGAGCTCATGGCCTGGATCCTGCCTGCACCATCCCTCCGGGAGATGCTCCAAGCTGGAGCGTTGGAGGGGCACCCTCCTTGCTGAGAGCTCTGTCCCCTCCCCAAGGGCTCTGTCCCCTCCCCGAGGGTTCTCTCCCCTCCCTGCCACTGCCTCCGTGCATCCCAAATGGGAATCCCAAATGGGAAGGTCCGGGCTGCCCCGCTCCAGGCTCTCCCACGCTCGAGTAGCTGCGTCCTCCCTCCTCGGCCAGCACTTGCTTATTCCTCATCTTGGATGTCATCGAGGGTGGAAAATGTGACAGGAAGGAAGGGAGGCTTTTTTTCCCTCCTGCTAAATACGGACTGACATTAAAAATCCAAATACTGTCGTGAAAGGAATCCCAACCTCTGTTTGTTGGAGGAGGGAAGAGAACGATGTTTTCTGGCTTTTCGGCTGTGAGGTTCCAGCTGGGAAGTTTCGCAAGGAGCGGCGGAGTCCTTGCCGGGAGCCTCAGGAATTTACTGAGCTTGTTCACAGGACGCTCTGCAGCGTCTTATGCTAAAAAAATTAGTCATCCCTTCTCCGCCTGGCCGTGGCTGGGGGGAGCTTGCCGTGAGCATGCAGGATGCTTGGAAATATTTAGGGATTTGTCCTCCTGTACAAGGAGTTCTAGAAACAGGAAATAAAACTGCAGCCCAAACAGGAGTTTTTCATCTTTATTTTAATTCCTGTTGCTGCAGCAGCCTGTGGCTGGGAAGGGAAGGCTGTGCACGGGGTGGCTGCAGCCGGGTTTGCAGGGAGGGTTTGTCTCTCTCTGTCAGGCGTCAGATGCAAACTCATGCTGTTATTCCCAGAGAGACTGGGAAACAGGCTCGGTGTGGGGCTCTGCGATGAGGAATGAGACCACAGGGATGGTCACGGCACTGCCAGCTCCCCCAGTGGCTTCTGCTGGGGCCAAGGTGAAGAGCCAGGATGTTTTTGGGGAGCAGGGACTGCAGCTTCCCAAGGACCCGGGGGTGCTGGAAGAGAGAGAGAGACTCGGTGTCTGTGCAGGGCAGAAGGTGGGTGCTGCCACCTTCCTGCTCCACATGTTCCTCTCCATCCCTGTGGGACAGATTTCTGGGGGGGTGGGGTGGGGTGTCTGTGGGAAGCTCCAGGGTTTTTGCCTGGTCTTTATAAAAACAAATGGTTAAAGCAAGTGGTTGGTTAAAGTTGGTTGAAGGCGGTGGAGTCCCCATGCCTGGAAGTGTTGAAGGAATGACTGGACGTGGCACTCAGTGCTCTGGGCTGGATGACAAGGTGGGGATCGGTCACAGGTTGGACTCGATGATCTAGGAGGTCTTTTCCAACCTAATGGATTCTGTGAAAGCAGTGTGGGGATCCTGGGAAGTGCTGGAATAGAATAGAATGGAATAGAATGCCTTTTCCAGGGCACTGCTGTCCTGGTGCTGGTACCACTGTGTTGTTCCCAGGCTAAGGAGGCACAGCTCCTTTCTGCCTTTCTGAAATGTCACTCTCAAGTAACTGGATCTCTGTGCTTCTTCGTGAAACTGGTCCATGTCCAACATCAGCATCCTTGAGGAAGAGTAGTTTGAATTCCCTCTCTCCCCATCTCCTCCTGCCGCTGACCTACCTCTGCTCTGCTCCAGCCCTCTGTTTGCAGCGGGATGGTGGATCCTGGTTAAAGGTTGGACTCAATGATCTCAGAGTTCTTGTCCAACCTGGTTCTGTGATTCTGACCCAGCGTGGAGGGCGTGGGTTGTGTCACCTCTGCCGTGCTCAGCTGAGCCGCGGTGGCACCCTCCTGGTCTATGTGATGCCCTGGAACACTGGGAAGTGCAAGGTGTGATATTTTGCATGGAACAGACTGCCCATATGCTTCCATAGGGTCAGGAGTGGCACCAGCTGCCGCCTGGTGCTTCAGTCTTGCTGTGACACGGACGGGAGGTCACTCGGCCCTCGCAGCTGCTTTCTGGGCTCATTCACAAATCGCATTTTGCTCTGGAAATAAAACAAATCCCTGGGCTTTCCTGTCGCAGTGGAAGTCATTTAAACATGACCGGGTCCGTAAGCATCTCCAAAGCCTGCGGACAGGAAGAGACACTCGAGTGGAGAGGTAGGAAATGTCCGCATTTATAGCAGTGGCTGATTCATGTCCTGCTCTTAACTCCTTCCCTCCTGCTCTCGGTGGGATCCAACTGCTTTGATTCAAGGCTCAGAGGCTGAGGAGACTCTGGCTGGCTCACAGGACACTGCTGGGTTTTGTACCTCGTGTTTACGTGGTTTGGGGTGGAAGAGGAGTGGGCTGTTGGAGGTGTGTGGTTATCCGAGTCGGATAACCGGAACGTCGGCAGTCACATTAGAAGGGATTAATATTTAATATATAGGGTATGAACCTTGGTGCTTAATCATTATCTGAAGGGCTTAGGAAGAGATTTAGCGATAAGCAAGTGATTCCCGAACTGTCCAGAGTGATTTCTTGCGTATTCCTCTGGAGCAGCTGGTCCTGGATATCCCTAGAGGCTGGTCTGATCCTGTTCTTCCTGATGTCTCCAGCTTTTGTAAGTGGGTAGAGTGGCTTTCATCACGAGTGCTTGCTTCTCATTAAACTCACAAATACTCTGGAAGCCCTTTTTCTCTGATGCAGCTCACGTGCCTGGACTGTGAGGACCTGTCAGTGCTTGAAACTTCTGTGTGTAGCCAAAGCCTGTGGGAAACGTGTCGTGGGATCCGTGGATGTTGCCACTGTCACACAAATCTGCCCAGCCACTACTCCAGAGGCAGCTCATTTGTACTTTTCTCTGGCCAACCTCTTTAGGAGACCTTAAATGTCATCTCCAGGCCCCAGTATGGGCCCGGAACCCCCTGTGATGGACTCTCCTCATGTGGTTTTTTTTTTCAGCATAAGGTGTTTTGTTGTGCAGCAGGGTGGGGGCTGCCCCTCTGGGATGGGGGTTGCTGTGTTTGTGCAGGGAGGGGGTGATGGTGGGGGAGTGATCCTGGTCTGGAGGCCTCAGCACAGGAAAGACATGGACCTGTTGGAGAAAGTCCAGAGGAGACCCTGGAGATGCTGCCAGGGCTGGAGCCCCTCTGCTCTGGAGCCAGGTTGGGAGAGCTGAGGGGGTTCACCTGGGGAAGAGGAGGCTCCAGGGAGACCTTTGAACACCTTCTGGTACTTAAAGGGAGCTTTTAAAAAAAGAGGGAGAGCAACTTTTTATATGGGCAAATTGTGATAGGACAAGGGGAACAATTTTAAACTAAAAAAGAGTAGATTTAAACTAGATATAAAGAAGAAATTCTTCCCTGTGAGGGTGGAGAGGCCCTGGCACAGGTTGCCCAGAGAAGCTGTGGATGCCCCTGGATCCCTGGAAGTGTCCAAGGTCAGGTTGGACGGGGCTTGGAGCAACCTGGGATAGGGGAAGGTGTCTGTGCCCATGGCAGGGGGTGAGACTGGATGGTCTTTCAGGTTCCTTCCAACCAAAACAATCCTGTGATTCTATGCCAGGGCACACAAATAATCCCTCTCCCTTCTCTCCCTGCCCTGAGTGAAAACTCACCTGTTTGAAGGCACCAGCCATGTCATCAAACAAACTGTGTTGTGGTTGCTCTTATGGTACTGGTGTGTTTTGTGGGCTGTAGTTTTGATGGTGGAAGTCAAAACAACTAACTGAGGGTTGGGTTTTGGCATACTGGTCACGTAGAATATCCTGGTGTCTACTGTAAGAGGCATGGAGGTTGGAAATCTTTTAAAAAATGGGTCTGCTTTTTTCCCAAAGCACCTGTGGAAGAATCAAGGAATCACAGAATAGTTTGGGTTGGAAGGGACCTTAAAGATCATCTCATTCCAACTCCCTGCCATGGGCAGGGACACCTTCCACTATCCCAAGTTGCTCTAAGCCCTGTCCAACCTGGCCTTGAGAGTGCTCCTTTTTATTCTTTGTGCAAACACATCACTTGCTCAGGCAGCAGCGACTCTTTATTCCAGAATAATT